CCCCCACACGTCAATGCGGGGAACAATGCGACACGAATATGGCACCCTTGGGACAACGGGAAGGTCTGCGCTGAGGATCAAGCTCCATTGTCCACATCGATGTGCCGCGGAGCGCGCCAGAAAGTGACACTCCTGGGTCACCCTTCCCACATCAACTCTGCCCTGTTCGCCTCCAGAAGCAACCGGAAAGAAACATTGGGCTGCGGCATTTCAAAGCAGAGATCAACATGGCTCCCCACCATCTGCAACGTGAAGTTCAAGCCGGCTGCGAAGGCAGTTGGATGGTTTTCGGATCTCCTTTACACTGTAGTAGAGTTCTTCCAGAGAGAATGAAGAGCATTCCACTGTGGGAACCCACCAAGCATCATCTTGATACCTTGCAAAACTTGCGGGCTTTCGGATGAAAACCCACGCTGACACAGTGACAGTAAGTGCCAGACGTTGGCTGCCCCGTGACTAAAGCGACATGGCTCCACGGCTTGCAGTCCTGACGAGTGATGAGCGAATACGGAGCTGATCAGCGTTTCATTACTTGACTTCCGTGGAGCCACTCCTCAGCAAAGACAATCATATCGCCGATTTGGATCTCATCCTGCAACGTTCGATGTCAGAATTCTACTGTATGAATGTTGTTGCCTACATGTATGTGTGTGTCTGTACTGCATCAATGCTTGTGGCGCAACCTGTGCAAATGTGAATGTGGAGTAAGTAGTCCGCCGGCACAAACGTGAAATACCACATGTCGCTCCAACCATATCCTCAGAAGGTGGTTCGACCCCCTGACCCCCACCTCAACCACCGAACCTCAGGAGGTGGAGCCCTAGGGATTTGGCGTCCCCGAAGACATGGCCGGCCTCAAAAACGACCTGTTTATGCCATACGACTCGACACATCCTTCAGGTTGGGTTTCAGGCACCCGTTTTGCTTGCTTGACCGGCCGGCCGTGGCCTTTTTGGGTGCCCAGACGGGTAGGGTCCATCGGCGCGGATCATCCGGCAGAAGTCATGGGGTGTGAACCTGGACACCGACGGCGGACACCGCGGTGCAAGTGAAGAAACTCCCGAAACACGACCTGTCTGGGGACGACCTGTCTGGGGTCCCGTTGCGGGGGGTTGGAAGTGAGTTCTTGCATCGGCCGAGACAAAGGCGGCCGCCGTGGTGTTTGTGCGGGGGTCTGACAGGGCTGCCGTATCTGACAGAGTCGTGTTTGGGACTGGATCCCTTGCCTACACGACCGGTTTGATACGACCGATCACTTGCCTACATTGACAACTCCAGACTCCATATATGGAATAGTTAATGTAGACTCTTAGATTAATAACCCCCCTCGATTGAATTGGACATCCTCTAATCAAGAGTCAAGAGTCTACATGAATGATAGTTAGTTGCTTACATCGGGGTCATTGATAACAAGGGGGCTTGGCATCTGCCCCAGGGTACCCTGGGCACTGTGACAGTATGTCCGCAAATGTATCTTGGGCGGCAAAGCCCAAATGCTTGCATTCTTGTTTGCGTCATGAACGACTCAAGGTCAAGATTTCTCATTAAGAACAGAACCAGGGGGAAGCGTCGACTGCTACATGCAAGCTTGAGGTGTCGCGACACCCCGCACTGCCGCAAGCACTTCACCCAACGATCTATACTCGACCTCGACCTTCATGGGAGGACCATGTTAAATATAACATGGTATATTTATACACCCGACCCTACAGGTCAATGCCTTCATTTTACTGGAGTTGGTCAGTTGGTCATACCAAAAACTCTACTCAATGAGGTCAAAAACCAGGTTTTACTGTGTCAGACTTGACTTGTAGGGATAAGGCATTGTTCCCTATGGATCCACTGGCACCTGTTCGATACTGAGGGTCCAAAGGACCTCAGGAACGGACGACTAACTTGGGATAACTTCGTCTGTCCGGGGCCACAGTGGATGATGATGGTTGGTAAAGGCATGGGCCAGGCCAACATCTGTAAAATAGTGATGTTCTTGTTTACCGAATAGGACAGACTCAAGGTATAGCACATGATTGGAGGGAAAGGTCCTCAAATCTGCAAACCTCGCTGACATCTTCGTCTCCTGCAACAACATGCTCCGTGAGCCGTTGGTGACCCCATCGACCCTGACGCGAACACTCCAGACCCATCGACCCTGACAAAGGCTGTGAGAACCAGACCTAGGCCTCGAGTCATACCTTCTGAGAAGGTGGGACTGGGGTGAGTTTGGAGGGTCCAAATACCTTCTGAGGAGGTACTTGGAGGTGTAGGGCAGCGGCGCCTCATCCAGCGATTCACCGTCCAGGTCATGTTGGCATGGACCACCTGCGCGCGACGCGCGCAGGTGAACCGTCCGAGGGTTTTCCATCGGCCCAACGGAACAACGTCTGATTCGTCTGTGAGGTGTGGGTCATGGATGGGTCATGATGTCTTGCCTATCAATCTAAGGAGATCCCGCCCAAACATATGCTCAACGACCGCCGATCTGTTTCGATGGAAAAAAAACATCAAATTAATCCTAAGATCCAGGGTCTTTCTATGTTTGTGTTGATTTTAACTCTCAAAGTACCTGTGAATGAAAATCCAATACCGGCTGGCATGGGAATGACCCTGGTCGCTGCACTCATTTCTTTTCGATTGAATAAACATGTGGTTGGTTGCTATTTGAGTTTTTGCTGTAGATCCAATAAGAACGTTCAATTGGAATATTGACTTAGGATATCTTAGGATTATGTTCATTAGGAACTAACTGAAAGTCAACATACACCAAACAAATTGGTAGGAATGCAATGTTTGGCAACCATACTTGCTTGATACAAGTTATGATTACATGTATTAAACATGTGTAGAACATTCTGTGTTTTTCGTTGTGTAACAATAATTATGTATATAGATGATGCATATGTGTGGCATGTCATGTGTATGTTGAACTGTTGGATGATGTTGGATGTCTCATGGATGTCTCATGGCATGCACATGCACATTAACTAATGTGCACACCCCACCTACTACAAAGAAACACCTCAAGTCATTCATAGCTGTCCCCGCGAAACCATGGCCGGACTCTCCAGCTCTTTGGACTACTGAAAGCGGCGCGCTGGCGCCAGGTCGCAGAGTCCGGCCCGTAGGCATACGAAGTGAAACCCTTCTCAAAGACTACGGACTGGAACGCATGCCGCCCCAAAAAGACCCCCGAAATTCCACCACACTGGGACTTTTCTCGGCCAATGTGGCCGTTCCAGTCGTGTCTGGGATTCACGCCGTACACCCAAAATGGACAGGGACCCCCATCGACTTCCTCCCCGCCGGTCCGGTTTCGCCCGAGACGAGTTGCTTTCGAACACGCCGCGCAGCGCAGCGCAGAACGCGCGTCGAAGGCGCGTCGCCTCGTCGTTCAAATCCCAGGCGCCATGGGACGGATCGGTGTGAGGCCTTGGACGCTTTCGGCTGACCCGGCGGTCGCACGCGGACGCGGACGCGTGGGTGGAGCGAGCCGTCCGTCCAAGGCCCTTTTGGCCAGGCCGGCTGAGCCGGCCGCCAGGGTGGGCCGTTCCAATCACCCGAATCGACCTGAGAACTGTGCTTCCTCTCAGAGTTGTCTCTACCCCATTGATATGGCAGTGGGTCCCCGGTTTTGATGAACGGCCATGTTATCCCTCAAGAACTGCATCACCGTGGAATCGTTTGAGTGTAGCCGAATATCTTGTAGATTGTAGATGGCTCAACACCAAAACCGCTTTACATGAGCACCCATATAAAAACATAGCAGCACTCAATAAATTCATACCAAACCTTCAATGCTGTATAGAATATTTACACCCTTAAACATCTCTAAATATATCAAAAATATCCCGATGTACGTATAAACTTATAATATGCCAGTCCCATGGATTTTTGGGATATCCATGGATATCCCCAATCCAACGAACACTTCAGGTCAGCAAACCAAGCAAAACCACACATCCAACCGCTCCATGCCTTCGCCACGATGCCCCCCGTGCCAAGCGGCCAGGGCCAACAGTTGCGTTCTCCGGAGATCAAATAAGGCCTCGGGCGTTCCACGGACGATCCGTCAAGAGACTCGGAACCCAACAAAAGGAGACACCAAAGCAGCAGGACCATGTGATGTGTCGTGACGTGCTGATGTTTTGACGGCGCATTGGGAAATGGTCACCAGGGACTTGGAGCCTTTATCGGACAACCATTGCGTGTATATCCAAAAACATCTCTATACATACCAAGTAGCTTGTATGTCTGAAGCAAGTCATAACCATCCACACCACTTTAGGCGTAGGGTGTGAAACACAATGAAACACACATATATACATATATATCATACGACTGAGGACAAACAGCTCTAGCCGGCCAAAATTTAAAACAAACAGGAACTCAGCCAACCCTGAAGTTAAAAATGTCAAACACTGGAATGGCCCTCCAAGATTTACAAATTCCTTTGGATCCATTTCTTGATTCCTTCCCTTACCTTCCCGAGCACCAGTCTGTCAGCTAGCTACGGTTACAGCCACATTATGTACAGTAATTTGAAGTCAAGAAATCCAAGCGCGCTGTGACATCCCCTCTGAGATATACGTACCCTATAATATACTACAGTATATAAGATATCAACCTAAACACCCCCAAGGGGTGGTGCTTGGAACCCCAGGTTCGTCCCTGATCGTATAGGACAACCTATTTGAAACATAGACACGAGGGTGCCGAGAAGACGAGGTCCTAGGTTTATCAAAACACAGGAGGTGTTTTTCACACTAGTGTACAGCGTCTGACAATCCACCAAAGGGTTTGTCTCTGGCAATGGTTTTCCTGGGACAGGTGGGTGGGTGGAAGTGTGCACCATCTCATTTCTTAAAGGGGCTCCACCACCGGAGAGTCCAGAGGTGATCGCCATGACCGGCAGAATGTCACCTTCATTGTCACCTTCTGAGCCATCCTGCTCAGAAGCTGACATAAATAGACAAAAGCTATGTGGCACTACACCCTAAGATGGCACAGCTTGACCAACATACTGCCAAACAACCAGCTTTTCCAAACCTTCGTGTTTGAGACGCGTGTGGTCCATGAATTCCTCGCCTCAAACTGGTCTCTAAAAGACCGTGTGGCTCTACAACACGGTCTTCTCTCTTTCGCTCCAAACGCCTCCTCCCCTCCACTGCTCTAGACCAAAGAGCGAATCTGGAAAGCGCAAATAGGCCCGAAGGATGTCAGCCATGGGGCTCTGGCCGCAGGAGCTGCAATGGGTCACCCGTGTGACCAACACAATGCGATTCTGGGTCAGCAGATTGGATCAACACAAGAAAAAGAGTCTCCCGGGGAACAGGTGCCTACACTGCAGGTATGGAACAGTTGCCTAGATCGACCCGTATACAAGATCTCAAAACCACGACAATGTAGGTAAACATGCCAGTCCCGTGGGTTGTCTGGCTTATAGGTGTCCATTCCTACCACCGTGAGGTTGGGTGTTCGGTTTTAAGGTCTAACCTTATGAGGAGGCACCCATCACGCGACTCCACACATCACGCGACTCCACACCTTTCCCGCTCCTATAGGGTGGGAGAAACCCAAAAGGGTACCTACGAGTTGGAGAGCAGGCATCAAGCAAAACCCAAAAAAAAAACACCCAACCAAATCCAGTGACACAACGAAGATGATGCGGGTGATCGTTGACGCGGTATGGCTTCACAGTTCTCAGAAAGCGAAGCGTTTGATGGCTTCACTCTTCAGGCATGGAAGTTCCTACGGCATTGTACCTAGCCTGGAAATGAAGAAAACACTGGTATGCGCCGCATGGTCAGCACTGACCATGTTCGTGAGAATTCGTGAGTTGCGGTATGCGGTTCGCACTGGTGCACATGTGCAATATCCCTTTTCGAAGTCGTGTGATAAACATCAGTATAGTCTATATACTAAGGTCTCAAGACTGCAATTCAGTGCTGCCCCTTCTCATAGTAGTGTCTGATTGATTGCCACTTGCTGAAACATGGATTAGTGTTGTGGATCATGGTGGACTGAATCATACCAATTATATACATCCAATTAATGTAACACAATAAACAATTCCTGAGGCCCTTAGTGCCTTAGTGATGATTGCCCGCTGACTCAATTGGAACCAAAGAGGCAATTGAAATTCCAGAAGGCAACTCGGCAACTCCATGTTCTCGTCCTTGATCTTCCGTGAAAAGGAATCATGCCAAGAATCCTTTCGATGAATACCTCATGAAGTCAACCATGAACCGAGATTCCGTGACTGGCGATACAGAATCCGGGCGACCTGGCGAACCCCGGGACCATCTCCGCCTGCAGCAAGACATCATGACCATCCGAAAAGATCACCTGGGATAAGGATGCAAGGGCGTGGAACATGCGAGGGATAAGGAAGGGTATCCTTTCAGACATGGATGTCGAGCACTTCAACTGATTTGGAATGAGTTATGTAACACCTTCATGTCCCAGATCTGGAGTGGATGACTTAGGAGAATGGACCCATGACCACGTAACCGCGGCTTCCGGACCCGGATCTGAGAGTACCAGTCATCGGGCTCCAAAGGTCGTGTTCAGTGTACGGCAAGAACACCGAAGCAAAGGACCCTCTCAGACCTCCCAAACACGACCTGTCTGGGACTGCCAGTCCGGACTGCCGAGAAACGGCCAGGGGTGGTTGATTGGGGGTCTGGCTGGGGTGGCACATATGCCAGTCCCATGGAGTGTTTGGGACTGCCAAACATGCGACGTTCACTGCGATGTGGGTGTGAGGCATCCTCTCAATTCTCAGAAACACATCCCTCACATCACCTGGAAGTGGGCTTCGTCACTGGGATGACATGGGAAAAGCATCTTCCTCTACAAATGGTTTGGACACGACATTTTATACAGGAAAAGGATCACCATTTTCTAGTGACGGAAGCAACCGGTATACAAATGGATACGTTTCCTCCCTCCATGGAGCCGCCCATCGTCCCCGACGGTCACGGCCAATGACATCGTCCCAGCAAAGCGGCGAGGTCGTCTTCGGCGATGCGACGCTGGCTGAGCTCATACTCCAAGACCTGGCGGGGAGTGGAGCTCTCCTCCCGACGACCGAAGGTCGACCGGAGACTGCTGGAGGAGTCCCTCGGAAGGGTCCACGGAAACATGGAACATCCAGGTCACCAGCTGCGCATCGATTATGACCGATCGATGGATGTCTTCATCACCTCAGACCAATCAAACTGGAATGGTTGACGTATAAAAAGTCATGTGGGTGTATCCCATTCCCCAAAAAAATCCGTGGATGATGATGGTTAGGTTGCAGGCCTCTCTCATTGTTTTGTTTGACTGTTACCGGGAAGCACACAATATATCCCCTAGGCCTCCAAGCACCTCCTCAGAAGGTATGACTGGACCCTCCTGGCACCCACCCCAGTCCCACCTTCGAAACGAAGGTACGACTGGAGCCCTAGGGATCAGAAGGTCTTCCATTACGACCCATCGATGTCTTTCCATGTCCACAGGGTCCATGTCACCTCCAACCCTTCGCGCACGCGCCTCCTGGAGCATCAAGAACCTCGGCGCGGAAGCACCCGGACAGAGGCGGAGTTCCCCACGTCCGGGCAAAAAGGCCTTTTGCTTGGTGAAAAAAGGACGACGTGCACTGATACAGAGCCCTGAGGGTTCAAAATCAATAGATGGTTGGGGGATCTCCTGATGCCAAAAACAAGACGGCCACGTGCATGCAAGCAACAGCGTAGGCCGATACCCTTTTCCTAGAGAAATGTCAGGCAGATCTTGGAATCATAAATTTACCTTGATTGTCTCTTTGTGCCCCACCAAAAGAACCTTTTAGTCGTCCCTTTCTGGATCTGTCAATCGTCCATCTGCAATACGAAGAACAGGAGCCCTCGGCCCCTCATGCCCTCATGAGCCCTCGGGCCACCCAGCTACACCATGATTGCGAGTGGATCCGGCTTTCAAACGAATTGTCATTGTCTTTGGATCGCAAAGAAACTTCAGCTGCTGTACAACTTCTTCAACTACAAGCAGCATAGACACCCACCCACAGTTTGAGGCATCTCCTATAGATTTTGGCAAGAAAGTCTTGTGCAGCTGCCCCTGGCCCCTGCACCAAAAAGGAAGACCATATATAGTGACCATGGCTAAAACACAAGTTGTCTAAAGAAAAACCGTCTTCCATGGACCATGTTTAGATTCCAAGAACCTGCTAGCGATGGATTGCAATACTCTCTCTCAGCCTGTAGATTCCTGTGCATCGAACATTGCCTCTCGACACCACCGCAGAAACCCAACACTGCAGTGTTTCGCTGTTTCTTGGCATTCCAACTCCCTGGTAGTGCAGGATATCTTTGACAAATCATGGTCAGCATGGACGGCCAAAGGACTATTGCAATCGGAAAGGGGCATGTTGAATCCAGACTTTCTGCAACAAGCATCCCTGCTGCCTGTTTACAGCGAATGCTTTGTATACCCAGCCGCAATCTAGAAGCTCCCAAACCATTTTCAGTAGAGGAGAATAAACTGAACATTCATTTGCGCCAAGCAGTTTCTGCGTTTGCTTAGCTAAGGGGAATGTTAAATTGAATCTGGTCTGAAGGGCCTTTTTGACTGTTATTGGGTGAGGCACAGCCGGAGCAGATTCTGGCATTCAGCCACCTCAATTACACATCGTCGCTCGGACCACCAAATAGATCACTTCTGGCATGCTGAACTTATTTGGAACAGAACACTCCTCAAGTAGAGCGATGTTCAACCACTCCAAGTCTATTGATGAACACCTGTGAACTGCCTTTCATCACCCGCAGGAACCTCCGAATCCTCCAGAAGTCTGGCAAAGGAACTTCAGCGTGGGCGAGTGACTGTGGATCAGGATATAGCCAGGCCTGCGACTGGTGACTGGTCAGCGTGCGCAGAAGTCTCGTCCCGGCCCGGGATTCCTCGTCAGTACCTTCTACCCCACTGGCACCAGTGGATCCACTGGCGAAGGTGATTGGAGATGCATCGCTCGACACGAACGGAGCGTGGAGGAGCGTCCACGGGGTCAGAATGAAGGTGATGTTCGTGTTTTCAACGAGCTGGGAAGATGTTGTGTTCAGAGTTTGGGGGTTCAATACAACAAGTTGGGGTCGAAAAAATTGAAGGGGTCAAATAGATATATACAATAGGGTTCCCTTTTCGAAAGTCCTATGCAATTACTGCAATCTTCATTGAATAACTTATGTGACCCAGGGTTTAACTGCATAAAGTAGTGCATGTCCAAACAAGCACAATCACAGAGTCTTTGCTGCACCAAACACCGCAAATCCAAACAGTGACTCCTCCTTGGCTCAAGAAACTCTTCCACCATGCGAAGATGGTGCTAGGTCGTGTGACTCCTCAACGCAATTGAGTGCATATGCACATGGCTGGTACAGTACATTGACCCTCCATTTGGTCCCTCGAAACATGGAAACATGGGCGGTATATCACGGTATATCGTATTTGTTGGGGTGATGTTCTTGGCACTTTGAGAGGATCCAGGCACTAAAATGACAGATTCTATTCAAAAACAACATGCTGCAGAAGACCCAAAGACTTTGTTTTCTTCCATGTGTTCCAGCGTTTTGTCATATAGTTTGGGTGTCCCTTTTTCTGTTTTTCTCTTCAGGAAAACCCACTGACTGTAGCAAAAAGCAAACTTGCAAAATACCATAAGACTGGATGAACCTAGTACTGACCATCACCACCGTCTTTTTAAATGGCTGCACTGACCAAGAAACTGGCCTCTCCCACGATAGACACACTGAACATGATACGAAACGCAAGGGGTGCACCTGGGGAAATTACGTAGCCACATATACACTGAAACCAAGTCCCTTAATATCCCTTAATGTCTCTCTCCGGATACACGTGATAGACATGAAGGGACTTGATTATCTTGATTCATCATAAGGTTATAGCTTGCCCCATGTCCTTACTCTGCAACCAGAATGCTCGAGGTGAGGATTGCTTTTGTCCTATTTCCAAACATGAACTCATTTGAGACTCAGGCCACTAACTCGTCAACCGAACAGCAACGTTAACGGTTGGGAGGCCAACGGTTCGCTCCATCGCTCCCGTTCGTCGCTCGCCTCTTGCTGAGGCCAATGACCCGCAAGGGTCTGCCCAGCTCGAGCGAGGCCTGGGCGTCTCAAGCACGCGGCTTCGTGCGGCGGGCGGAACGGGCGAGAACAAACGAGGGTTTCCGAACAAATAAGGGTCTGCAGTGGTTCAGACCCCAAGAGTCCAGTGGACGGCCCGCCGCCCAAGAATTCAAGTCTAGACTAGTGTAGGTGGACCCATCTAGTATTAATGTGAAACATGGGATTGCGATGGTTCGTTGAACATTAACCATGCTCCAAGGTTTCTCGTTTTCTGCAAAGCTGAAACGCTCAACATGTGGGGGCCCTATCTCGTTCACCAGTGAATACTGGCGTTGGACAAACACATAGAGTTTGCCGCAAACTACTTTGTACAAGGCCAAATAAATAAGGTGGTTGCTCATACACGACGCGTTTCAAAGCAAAGCAGTTGTGGGCATGTGGTCTGTGTTGAAATAGGACAAAGCCCTTGCAAACAAACCTGAAATAAACATTTTAACATTTGCTGGCTATTTGCGGGGAAATGACGCAAGGAACCTGCTGTGGAACACAAGTGCACTCATTTCGTGCATGCGGTTTCCTGGTCTTCTTCGATTATTCCATTTGACTCCCAATATCTCCCAATCAAGACTGACCAACTTTGCTGGTGGACCAATTGGGCCGGTGACAACGTCACTTCCATTGACGCGAAAATATGCGAAAATATCAGGAACATACTGCAAAGAGTTGTTTCTAAGGCAACTTCAATGGTTTGCATGTTTACATACATTGAGGTGGTTGACCTGGGGTCAGTGGGGTGGCATATACACCAGTCCGATGGATTGTCTGGGTATCCAAATTTTTTTCACAACTCCAATGGTTGGCTCAAAGAACAGTTTCTGAGTTGAGGCGAGGAATTTTCACCATCGGGGTTGTGGGAATACACAAAAAACGGAACTCTGATAGCTCAATATAGCCCAAACCATCTCTGGTGAGCATCCCGGCCTCCCACAACTGCCTGCGGCCATCCGGTACTGCACTGAGTAACCAACTGATGATATAATATGATATATCAGTAGTGGTCACCTTGCAAGGGTTCGCTGCAGCTAGCTGCCGGCGTTCTTTCCCAAAAGCATCTCCGATGCTTCCCCTCTTCCACCCACAGCCCCGTCCACACGCATGCACCTCCCGTCTCGCGCCCCTTTCCTTCCATCCACAGCTCCGTCCAGGCCCGCGCACCTCTCGTATTGCGCCCCTCCCGGTTCCATCCACAGCCCCGTCCACACTCATCTTCTGTCCACGACAACGCTTGCTTAGTCTCGCTCTTCTGCGGGTGTGGACGGGGCTGGAAGGAAGGGAGGGGAGCGAGACGGGGGAGGCGCGTGGGTGTAGACGAGGCTGGGGAAGGAAGGGAGGGGAGCGAGACGGGAGGTGCAAGTAGAACGAAGCATAGGGGGGCTAATGCTACTCCATGCCTCGCGGAAGAGCGGTATTGCGTGAGTGGAACTGACTGGCGCGGCATATATGACGGTCTTGGGTGTCCAGAATGTGTGCAATGTATGCCGAAGACAGCCCAAGTCATTGCAGAAACGGCAGGATGGTTGCATGCCAGAACCGCAATGCCGCAATGCTTCAAATTTCATGGTTGGAGCGAAGCATGGAGGGAGCTGATGCTGCTCCACCCTTCCTGGAAGGGTTGTTAGAAGCCATGTTGCAATCGTTTTATGACCGTTTTGGAGGGCTTTCAAAACTTACCAAGGGGTGACGGGGGTGTATATGGCAGACGGAGGTGGACGGATGCGCACCAGAGCCGCGATGCTTGAAATACAAGTATCATGGTTGCCACGAAACCTGGAGGGGGCTGATGTTTTGTTTTGGCCTGCTAATGTGTGTTTGTTTATTTTGCCTGGGTTGCGCGCTTCTTTTTGCTGTTGGGTCCGCGGGCTCACCTTGTTCATGTGTTCCGCCGCCGGGAATCGTAGTTCTCTGGGCCGTCTGCAGCGATGGGTCCCTGCTACATCCACACCAGATCAGACATCCACGGATCAACCAGCCGGTCTCACTGACTTTGCGAATTCGTTCGCACCGTGCACGGTAACCACACTGACTCTTGCCTCTTCCTTCGCACACTTGGATTGACTGCTCAACTGGATCACAGAAGCATGGGCGCCCTGCACGATCTAGTTACAGCATTACCAAACTAGAGCGCTCGACACTAGAGGGTCAGCAAAAATATATGGTTTACAGTTGCAGGTGCACGGAAGTGATCAGCTTCCATTT